CGCTATCCCCGGATCCCCCAAGTTCCGGAGGTGCCACATCCTTGGGGGGCCTCGGTGCGTTGGCCTGGGATTGCCCCGGTGGGCTGGGATTGCTGCAGACTTGGGATGGGGGGTGGCTCTCTCCGGTGGGACCCCTCGGCTGCCTACCCTGCCTGTCCTGCCCCCAGTGCAGGGCACCCGGTTCTGCGGTGCTGGGGCCCGGCTGGATCCAGGCCCCGCTGCAGGGAGCATCACCCCCCGCCAGCCCGTGTCCCCCAGCGCCCACCCGCATCTCCCACTCCACCCTGGTGCCGTGGGGCTGGCTGGGGCCGTCTGGGGCCGTCTTCCCCGAGACCCCCTCATCGCCCCCCAGGGTGCCTGTGCCGTGCGGGGATGCTGCCGGTACGCCAGGGTGCAGCTCGCTGGGCAGAGCCGGGGCACTGGGCAGTGTGGGTGCTGGGTGCATGCTGTGCATGATGCTCTCGGAGAGGGCAGGGAGGGGGCTACCATGCACCCACCACACGGCTGGGGCACCCACCGCCCAGATGGGCTGCACCCACCACCCAGCCGGGCACACGCCCATCTTTAGCCGGGTCCCTGCTCTCGGGACAGGGCTGTGTAGTGCTGTGTGGGCCTGGGTAGGTCCTGGTCCCCACCAGCCCTGCGATCTCCGTGGGGCCTCGCGGTCCCGCTGGCAGCCCAAGGGCGCTGTGGGCAAGCTCCGTGCGTGTTGCCGGCCAGGCGGCAGCTGTCAGCTCTGGGTACATCTCGCTTCCCGGCATCCGCTGCAAAGGAGCCGTCCCTGCCAAAGCTGCTGAGAGCAGCAAAATCGGTTCCCGGGAAGGCGAGTGCTGATGCCGGGTCCCCCCCCTGCCTCTCCAGCGTTGAGCCTGGCCGGGCAGTGATCCCTCTTCATCCCCGTCCTCGGAACTGAGATTGCCGTCGTCCCCAGCTGCTCCATCCCATGGTCACCGGGGTGCCAGCATCCCCGCTGCAGGGCCCGATGCCGGGGTGCGGGATGAGGGGTGATGTTGGGGGGGCTGCATCGGGCATGGTGATGGGAACAGTCCCACGGGGTGGGGGCCCAGCCTCGCTGAGCCAGGGTCTGGGAGGACACTGCGCCAGAGCCTGGTCCTGGGCCAGTGCCGGGGGATGCCACGCTCTTGCCTGGCCGGGATCCCTGTGTTTAGTCTGGGATTCCCCCTGCTCCAGCCCGGTCCTGGAGGGTCCGACCATCCCCTCCCCCTGCCCAGCCCCGCGAAGGCTGCTGGGGCCCATTACTCGATCGGAAAGGAATTTGGTGCTGCTTTCTGAGCACGCCGACTCCCTGGAGCTCCCAGCTACATTGGAAACACATGTGCTGGGGCTGGGAGGGGAGGCTGGGGCCATGTGACCCTGCCATGGCGTGGGGGGTGGGCTGCTGCGGGAGCCCTGGCTGCTGGCACCCAGAGGTACTGCTGTGCCTGCTCCAGTGAGCAACGGGGCCATGCAAGGGCAATGGGGCCGTGCTCTCCTTGATGGAGTGATGGGAGATCCTTGCTGGAGCCCCCCCCCTACAGGGAGCCCTCCCTGGGCTGCATGGGCCACCTCCACCCACGGGTGACCCACATACCTGGAACCTTGGGGTAGGAAGGGGCTGTATGGGTTGGGTGGAGGGATTAAAGCCCATGGAAGGGAGGTAAATGATGCATGATGCTGCCAGCACCTGCTGTGGCACAGCTGGTCCCCACAGCCAGGGGGTCATGGTGATGCTGTTGAGCTGTGGGTCACTGGGGGCACCCCGGGGGGATGTTGCTGGCCCCAGCATGGCCCCTCTGTCCCATGGACTGGAAACCTCCATGTGGTGTGGGGTCAGGCCGTGCTGCTGGGCTGTGTCCATGGCAAGTCCCAGCTGCCCTGGGAGCATCCCTGGGTGCAGGCATCAGCCCTGTGGTCAGATACCACCCAGCATGGCAGGGTTTCAGGGGGGAGAGGAGGCAGTGGATGCCCCCAGCACTCACAGGGCTCCCCAGGCAGTGATGCTGTGGCTCTGCCCTACTTCTTTCCTCCCATCTGCAGGCGGCTGCATCCCACCCTGCCAGCCTCCACCCCGCGGCCCTGCGCTCCCCCAAACTGCTGCTGTCCTCCCCCATTCCTGGGGGATCAGGGGCTACATTTGCCACCCTTCCCCAGCACAGGCATCACAGACGGCACTTTGCAGCTGTTCCAGGCCAGGAAGCTGGCGCCGGCTGGGGCGGCCGATTAGCGGGATCGGGATGTGCGGATTAAAGTCAATCTTGTTGGTGCAATTATCTGCGGCTGGCTGCCAGGGGCTTGGGGGGCAGCGGGTGCTGGAGTCGGAGGGAGGCCCTCTTCCTGTTAGGCACCTGCCTGCCTTCCCCCTGCTTTTTAGCTCCAGGCATGGCCCTGTTTTGGGGGTGGTTGTGTCCATAGGACCCTCGATTCCTGTCCCCCAGGCTGTGGCTGGAAGCTGTGAGCTCGGGTGAGGACAGCTCTGCCCGGCACCACAGGGATTTGAATAAGTGCTGTGTGGGCACCACCAGCCGAATGCTGATCGGCAGAGCCGTGGTGCAGGGATGTGGGGGATCCAGCACGGGCGGCCCCGGCTTTCCGGGTGCAGCGCGTGACGGTGGCAGGCAGGTTTGGGTGCCTGCCAGGCCCCGCAGGTCCCCACTGCCTGCCTGCCTCCCCCGCTCCCCTTCACTAATCACCTCGTCATCAGGGCGAGCTTCATCCCAGCTGGGATAGGGGGGTGTTGCCATGGTGATGGAGGATGCTGGTTGCCTAGCGACATTCATCCCCTCGCCCACCCGCCCTGGATCAATTTGGCATGCGTGGTTCCCCCTCCGTTGCTGGCTGTGTGCCCCTGGGGAGGTGCAGGCTGGTGGGGGTCCCCGTGGAGCCCCCAGGGGGGCTGGCCAGGGCACGGTGGGAGCGACAGGGGGTTTCCCATCAGCTGGGAACGGTTTCCAAGGAACAGTCTCCATGACGGCCCCATCACACCCCGGCGGCACATTGATTTGCTGCTGATGGTGCTCCGGCGTCCTCCCCCAGCCTGGTGCCTGCTGGGCTGGCGGCTCACGCAGACGGGCACGTGAGCAGCTCTGGGTTCCTACCGGGGGCACGGGGCTGTCCCCAAACCTGGTCACTAGCTGCCAGGGTCGTGGGGGGACAGGGATGGGTGTGCAAAGAGCTGTGAGGCTGTGGTGGCTTGTGGCACAGCAGTCAGTGGGTCCCTGTGCCCAAGTGACCATTCTGTCCCCAAAACTTCTGCCCCTGCTCTGTGGCTACCAGCAAGGATGGGTGGATGAGACCTGCCCCACATCCTGCCCACCCTGCCTGGTTGCCTGGCCCTTGATGATGGTGATGGACAAAGGCTTGGTGTGGCTATGTGGTAGCCTGGGGACCAGCCGGTCCCCCAGAGCCTGCCCTGACCTCAGTGTGACCAGGAAGGGGAGATGAGGGGGCCTCCTCACACTTGCTCTGGCTGTGGCTCACCCATGCTGTCTCCCCAGGGCCCTCTACACGTATGAGGATGGCTCTGATGACCTGAAGCTGGCAGCGTCAGGAGGTAAGGTCCTCTGTCCCCTCCACTGACTTGGCTCTGCCAGTGTTTTCCCTGGCACCCATTCCTGGTGCTGGGTGGACGTGAGCTGACAGTGCTGTGCCAGGTGGAGGTTTGCTGGAGCTTTCTGGCCACTTTGAGATCCAGAAGGTGATGTATGGCTTCTGCAGCGTCAAGGACCCCCAGGCCGTGCTCCCCAAATACGTACTTGTCAACTGGGTGAGTGTGTGTGGGGGCCATGCTGAGGGGGGGCTGTGCCCATGGGGAATGGCTGGGTATGAGCAAGGAGCTGGAGGTGGCCAGGGGGGTACAGGTGCCTCACAGTCCTGCTGTCCCGTGGTGGTCAGTGGGGTGGGGGTCACCCTGCTGCCCCTCCTGGCTCAGCCCCTCCCTGGCTGCCACAGGTGGGCGAGGATGTACCAGATGCCCGCAAATGCGCCTGCGCAAGCCATGTAGCCAAGATTGCTGAGTTCTTCCAGGTGGGTGATGCTGGGGAGAGGGATGATGCCGCTGGGGCACCAGCGCTGAACCCTGATGGCTGCTTGTCCTCCCCAGGGTGTCGATGTCATCGTCAATGCCAGCAGTGTGGAGGACATTGACCCAGGGGCCATCGGGCAGCGGCTCTCCAACGGGCTGGCCCGTGTCTCCAGCCCGGTGCTGCACCGCCTGCGGCTGCGCGAGGACGAGAACGCCGAGCCCGTGGTAATGTCCCTATGGCAGTGATGGCGATGGTGGCGGGTCTGGGGCATCCCTCCCGCCTGGGGCTCCTGTCTGCCACAGCCCCTCACCCTGTGTGCTGCTTACTGTCATCCCCCCTCGCTGATCCCAGCCCCTCCACCCCCCCCGCCTCTCCTCTGTCCCAGGGCACCACTTACCAGAAAACTGACGCCACCGTGGAGATGAAGCGGCTCAACCGGGAGCAGTTCTGGGAACAGGCCAAGGTGGGGTATGGGGGAGCAGCCAGTAGCCCCTGGGAGCAGGCAGGGTGAGTGATGAGCAGCCCTCTCATTCATCCCCCCCCCCAATCAGAAAGAGGAGGAATTGCGTAAGGAAGAAGAGCGGAAAAAGGCTCTGGATGCCCGGCTGCGGTTTGAGCAGGAACGGATGGAGCAGGAGCGGCTGGAGCAGGAGGAGAGGGAGCGGCGCTACCGGGAGCGGGAGGAGCAGATCGAGGAGCACAGGCACGGCAGGGGCTGGGTGGGATGCGGGTGTGGGATGGCTGAGCACATGCTGCAAGTGGCTGGGTGGGCACATGGGTGTCCCTCATGGGGTGGGGTTGGGGCAGGGACTGGCAGGAGCYGGTGCCCAGCGTCTCTCCCCCGTGCCCCCACGGCAGGCGGAAGCAGCAGAGCATGGAGGCGGAGGAGGCCCGGCAGCGCCTGAAGGAGCAGTCCATCTTTGTAAGTTGGAGTCGGGACTGCCACTGGGCATCCCCCCAGGGAAGGAATTTTCCCAGCTGGATGCCCAGGACATCCCAGAGCTTGGGAGGTGATGTTGCATCTCTTTCCAGGGGGACCAGCAAGAAGAGGATGACAGGCAGCAGTTCAGAAAATCGGAGTCGGAGGTGGAGGTGAGTGCAGTGATGGCCATGCCTGGTGCTGGTCCTCACTCTCCAACCAGTAGTGCCTACAGCTGGATGGGGATGCAGCTCGGGGGTGCATGGGGGGTGGTCCCACAGCCCCACACCACCAGGGCAGTGGGGCTCAGCCTCCCCCATCCACACAGGAGGCTGCTGCCATCATTGCTCAGAGACCCGACAACCCTCGGGATTTCTTCAAGCAGCAGGAGCGAGTGGCATCGGGCAGCAGCGATGCTGTCTCACCAGGCAGCCACAGGACAGGTGAGGGGCTGAGGGGGGGCTGTGGGCAGGGGGGTGGGCACTGAGAGACTAAGGGGGCCTGTGGAGCAGGTGAGTGTGGTGTCACAGCCCAACAAGTCACAGTGGGATGTGGAGGGACGAGGGATGCAATGGGGGGAGGGGGGTGTGTACCCTTTGCCATCCCTGGCACCGTGGTTCTGGGTGCCAAGGTCACAAGGATGGTAGGGGTCATCCTCCCCTGCTGTGCCACCATCACTCCCACTATCACCGCTGCTGCCACCGCAAATCACGTGGCCCCTGCAGCTGGGGCAGCTTGGCAGGGCTGGATGTCGGGGTGTTTTCAGCAAAAGGGGGCTCACCCTGCTCCCTGCTCAGTGTCGTCCGCTCACCTGTCACAGCACTGCACCAGCAGCCGGGTTGGGTGCGTGGTTGGTACAGCAGGAGAGACAGCTGGAGGTCCAGGGATTGCTTGGGAACACGTCCCATGATGACAGCTAAAAGGGGCAGGAGTGAGTGAGGCAGATGTGGGGCACTCAGTGTGCTGCCAGCTGGCAGGGGGTGCCCCATGGAGAGACCAGGCTGCCCCACAGTCTGGGGTCCAGCCCCAGAATTGTTTTTATGGCTCTTGGGCAGGGGCTGGCTGTCCTGGTGAGTGCCTCCGGCCGTGGGGCCGTGTCATGGTGCTGTGCTGGGGTGGCTGTGCCAGGAGGGAGCCTGTGATGTGTGTCCTTGCTGTGGTGTTTTGCCATGGGTTGTGCCATGGGCTGTGCCGTGGGGCTGTGCTGTGGGGTTGTGCTGTGGTGCTGTGCCTTGGGGCAGTGCTGTGGGCTGTGCCATAGGGCTGTGCCGTGGGTTGTGCCGTAGATTCACGCTGTGGGGTTGTGCTGTGCCTGAGCACATAGTTGGTCCCACGACCGTGTTCTGGCCTCTCTCCTCCCCTGACCAGGCAGTGCTGCCTCCCATCTTTCTGTCCTGCTACCTTTCCATCCTCTTCTCCTGCCATTCTCCTGCCATGCTGTCGGTGTTGCCTCCCATCCGTCTGGCCTCCCATCCCGGTGCCCTGATGCTCCAGCCCCGCCATAACTGTGCTGAGCAGGGACTGACCCATCTCTCTTTCTCTCTCTCCGTCTGTCCGTCCGTCTGTCTTTCTCTCACAGGTCGTCTTCACTGTCCTTTCATAAAGACAGCTGACAGTGGGCCGCCTTCTTCCTCCTCCTCCTCCTCCTCCCCCCCGCGGACCCCCTTCCCCTATATCACCTGCCACCGCACCCCAAATCTCTCCTCTTTCTTCCCATGTAGGTAGCTGGGAGCTCGCGGGCACACAGCTCCGGGGGGCCGAGCCGTGGGCAGCTGCCCCAGAGCCCCCCAGCCCCACGGCACACCGGACCGACAGCGGAGGCATCGCCCCTCCTGTGGGCACCCTGAGGGGGACGGGCACCCAGGCAGGACCGTGCCCACACCCCTGGGCACTCGGCATGCCCTGCTGGGGCTGTGCCCCTGGGGAGGGGGTGTTGGGCAGGCTGTGCCCGTGGGTCAGATGGGGACAGGGCAGAGCGATGCCTGGGGAGTTGATGCTCTGTGGTGGGATGGAGCAGACTGTGCCCATGGGGTAGAGGGGGCACAGGACGGGCTCTGGCTATGGAGCATAAATGGGACAGGACAGCTGTGCCCTGGATCATGCAGGACTGTGCTCATGGGGCAGTGTGGAATGGAAAAGGCTGTGCCCAGGACCATATGGGGCTGTGCCCATGGGGCAGTATAGGATGGAAAGGGCTGCGCCCAGGATCATGTGGGGCTGTGCCTATAGGGAAGAAGGGGATGGGATGACTGTGCCCATGGGGCAGAGGGGGATGGGAAATCTCTGCCCTGAACCATGCAGGACTGTGCCCATGGAGCAGCATGGGATGGAAAAAGTGATGCCTTGGATCATGTGGAGCTGTGCCAAAGGGCAGGCGGGGGGCCATGTAGGGTTGTGCTCCTGCCAGGCATGGGTGACAGGGCACAAAGCTGTACCTGCAGGGGCAAAGCAGTGCCAGGGCAGTGCCAGGGCACAGCTAGGCGACGTGTGGGCAGGGCCAGTGTGCACCATGGCAGGTACGGGGCTGCCCGTCCCCGTGTCTGGCAGGTGCAGGGCCTGGGACTTCTGGGGGTGGTAGGGATGCCTGGAGGGGTCATGGTGGTTGCTGCAGCCATAGAAGCCTCTGCCCTGCCACCCAGGAGGGATGACATGGTGACTGGTACATGGTGATGTGCATTTGGCAGCTGACAACTGGGTTGGTGTGGGGCAGGAGCGGTGCTGGGGTGCTGGTCTCCCCCTCGATGTGGGCAGCCCTCCCATGCCACCCCATCTCCCTTGTCTGCAGGCAGCCAGTCGGACGCCTTCCGCAAGGCCTCAGCAGCGGGCTGCA